GCCAAAAAGCCAACCTTTATCCTCTCCTTCGTCAAGAAGGACATTGGCTGCCAACCAGCCAGCCTCTGCCCTCTCCTTCGTCGGGCAAGGACCTTGACTGCCAACCAGCCAGCCCTGCCTTCTCCTTCGTCGGGCAGAACCTTGGCTGCCAAACAGCCAACCTTTATCCTCTCCTTCGTCGAGGAGGAACTTGGCTGCCAACCAGGCAGCCTTTATCTTCTCCTTCGTCGAGCAGGAACTTGGCTACCAACCAGTCAGCCTTTGTCCTCTCCTTCGTCGAGCAGAACCTTGGCTGCCAACTAGCCAACCTTTGTCCTCTCCTTCGTCGAGCAGGATCTTGGCTGCCAACCAGCCAGCCCTGCCCTCTCCTTCATCGGGTAGAACCTTGGCTGCCAAACAACCAACCTTTATCCTCTCCTTCATCGAGGAGGAATTTGGCTGCCTACCAGCCAGCCTTTGTCCTCTCCTTCATCGAGCAGGAACTTGGCTGCCAACCAGTCAGCCTTTGTCCTCTCCTTCGTCGAGCAGGACCTTGACTGCCAACCAGCCAGCCTTTATCCTCTCCTTCGTCGAGCAAGACCTTGGCTGCCAACCAACCAGCCTTTGTCCTCTCATTCGTTGAGCAGAAGCTCTGTCGAGCAGGACCTTGGCTGCCAACCAGCCAGCCCCTGCCCTCTCCTTCGTCGGGAAGGATCTTGGCTGCCAAACAGCCAACCCTTATCCCTACCTTCGCCGAGCAGGAGCTTGACTGCCAATCAGCCAACCTTTATCCTCTCCTTCGTCGAGCAGGACCTTGGCTGCTAACCAGCCATCCCCTTCCCTCTCCTTCGTCGAGCAGAACCTTGGCTTCTAACCAGCCAGCCCCTGCCCTCTCCTTCGTCGGGCAGGACCTTGGCTGCCAAATAGCCAACCTTTATCCTTTCCTTCGTCGAGCAGGATCTTGGCTGCCAACCAGCCAGCGCTGCCCTCTCCTTCGTTGGGCAGGACCTTGGCTACCAAACAGCCAACCTTTATCCTCTCCTTCATCGAGGTGAAACATGGCTGCCAACCAGCCAGCCTTTGTCCTCTCCTTCGTCGAGCAGGACCTTGGCTGCCAACCAGCCAACCTTTGTCCTCTCCTTCGTCGAGTAGGACCTTGGCTGCCAACTAGCCAACCTTTGTCCTCTCCTTCGTCGAGTAGAAGCTCTGTCGAGCAGGACCTTGGCTACCAACCAGCCAGCCCTTGCCCTCTCCTTCGTCGGGCAGGACCCCCCTCCTCTTCCAGACCTCTGACTGACAGCTAGCAGATCGACGTTGCGCGGCTGGTCACTGATTCCCTTCTGGTCAGATCAGTGGCGCCGTTGGAGCCGCCGTCTTGTCATGGACGTCCGTCAACCCGAACACGTCCATGCTCGCAACCCGCTCACGTCCGTTAGGAACACTCCCTCGACATCTTTGCCCGACAGTAGCTCTCCCCGGTGTACTTTCCCGCCTAAGCGCAGCATTATCAAGTCCTCGCTCCCTCGCCTTGGAGCTACGACTTGGGGGGCTCCTGTTCTGGCCTAGGCCCCAGCCTGACCGGGAAGGCCCAAAGGAGCCTTCCTCATCTGTGTCGAGCACAAAACTCCCCGTCGACCAGACACTGCCCCGTCGGGCATAATCTTCCTCATTTGTGTCGAGCACAAGACTCCCGTCGACCAGACACTACCCCCGTTGGGCAGAACCTTCCCTCCGTCGGGCAGAATTTTCCCCCCGTCGGGGCAGAACCTTCCTCACCTGTGTCGAGCACAAGACTCCCGTCGACCAGACACTGCCCCCGTCGGGAAGAACCTTCCCTCCGTCGGGCAGAACCTTCCTCATTTGTGTCGAGCACAAGACTCTCCGTCGACCTGACACTGCCCCCGTCGGGCAGAACCTTCCCTCTGTCGGGAAGAACCTTCCCTCTGTCAGGCAGAACAACGTGTCCTCCACACGTTCTCCACGTGCACCCCTCCGTGGGGACACGTCACAACCAACTTCCCACCTCCGAAAGAGCAGGTCAAACCCACTTTTTAGAGATCACAGGACAATTGGACTAGGGCGAAGACCATGTCATGGTCTTCACTACACCACGTAAGCCCTAGCAGCCACTTGGGTTAGGCCTGGCCATCCAGCCCAACTCAAATGACTGTTGACCCTGCGCTGGGGTCTCTCTATAAATACCCTCTTTCACAAGAGGGTCAGGTATTCTCTTCTCAACCTACTTTCTATATTTGCTGTCACTATGTCCAAACACTTACTTTGGCATCAGAGTGCCTTGCAGGTACACCCCCATCTCCTTTCCTCAACACCGGTGAGCAGGCAGCAGATCAACGACGTGGGGCAAGTCCTTGATCCCCTTCTGATCAGGTCAGATCATTACCAACAATCTTTTGTCTTTCATTTTCTTTTCAATCACTATTTTCTTTTAGCATTTATTTAATGCACTCTATATGTTTTTATATATTTTTTAAGCAATACAAAAATTCAAAAATACTCTTCATTTTTAGAGATATATTTTTAGACGCATCTTAATATACACTTTACATTCATGTTCAAATTACATTCTAATTTTATAAAAAAAATTATTCTGAAAATATACCAACAATATTTTGGCTTTCATTTTCCTTACAATCACTATTTTTTTAGCATTTATTTAATGCACTCTATATATTTTTATATGTTTCTTAAATATCTATATGTTTCTTAAGCAACACGCAAAAATTACAAAATACTCTTTGTTTTTAGAGATGTATTTTCGGACGCACCTCAATATATATATTTCATTTGTTTTTAAAATCATAATATTTTATGACAATATTATTATATTTCTTAATTTGTGTGCAAAAATATTAAACGATAGTCATTTTGAAACGAATAGAGTATTTTTGAAAAAATTTTAAAAACATTAAAAAAATTACAATTTTATGAATTTCAAAGCACAAACACGTCCCAAATATGGGAGGAATTGAAGGAGAAGGTGGTGATTGTTCCATTAGAGGCGGTGATATTTATTGGGGAAGAAAACATGACAAGGATTTAAAGGAATATTGTTTGGGTTTAGAGATGACCACATAACCCATATTTACGGGTACCCATTCAAACTCATCTCGAAGTTGATGGAGAAAAGTCACTTTAACTGAGTTTAGATTTGGGTTTGAATTTTCTTCGATTATAAAATATGAGGACGATTCGGATAACAGGGTCACTAATACCCACCCAAAACCGTCGCATTTAATTCATTATATACGTTATTATTTATTTTTAATAACTTAAAATATTAAATATGTGGTAATATTTTGGTATTTTAATTTGTATTTATAATTTAAAATATTAGAAATGTATGCAGGAAATTTTTTTATTTTATTATTTGTAATGTATTTAATTTAAAAATAAATAAATATTTATGTTTAAAAAAATTAATTTCATTAAATAGATGGTGTCGGGGCGAAAATACCCGAACCCAATCCAAATCCATTTAAAACATATTTAAATTTTAATTCTCCAACCCTGTTTGAATTTGCGATTTGATTCACAGGAGTCAACATTGATTTTGTGTCAGATGAGAGAAAAATCATAAAATTAAAATCAAATTTAAAAAATGAGAGAGATATAAATGATAAGAGAGATAGACACATAGAAGAGGATGAGGGAGAGCTGCAGATGTTAGTGCCGCAGAGAATCCCTCCTATTAGATTTGCAACGGAAAAGTGAGATTATAAATTATTTAGAGTTTCGAGTTTGGGTTTAGAGAGGTAAAACCCACTCCGCCCCATTATCATACCCACTTGATTTTGGTTCCACAAATCCTTTTAAGGGGATTCGTTGACCTTTACTCCTCTTTAGGTTGGAATTCCCTTGTTTGTTAGGATCATTATCTATCCACGTAAATGTTTATTCCCTTGTTTGCTACTTGTTTACTTGCTTGATTTGTCATGGATGAAATTTGTGCATGGATGAAATTTGTGGATTAACAAATTGCTAGATTGAGGGGTGTTTGGTGTTACTTGAGGATGGAGTTTTGTAAAAATTAGAGCTTTTTTTGTAAAGTTTAAACAAAAATAAAGTGTGTCGGTATCCAAAACCGATGTCAATATCTGTGATTTAATATTTTTTAAATTATTATCAGTGTTAGACTTGTGGTATAGTGTTTTCTTGCTCTATAAGTTTTACTTGGCCTTAAGCTTGTGAGAAGAGAGCTTTTATTAATTGCATGTGGTGTTTGCCAAACTATGCAGAATGATTATAGCAACAAAAGAATTCCTTGGATGTTGTTTTGCACGTGAAAGTAGGAGTGTTATCAAATAACTGCCATGGTGGTGCTATAGTGGATATACATGGCGGTATGGCTGTTTTTAGGCCCGCTATAAAGGCACCACAAGGCGGCCTGGTATGGCTGTTTTTAGGCCCGCTATAAAGGCACCACAAGGCGGCCTGGATGGTGGGATTTTGGCTATCCGCCTTCGACAACACTGAATAATAGATAAATAGTAGATAAAAATTAGAAATTATGTGCTGACCTGCTTTGTCATGTTGAATAGGCAACCATGTGCTGAGAATAGAATAAGGAAGTTTGTTCAAAGATTAGTGCTAATAATTTATACTGATTTCTTTTTGCGCATTTAATTCATGCCAAAATATAACATTGAATCTTGTTAAACAGCCATGGGTCCAAGTCACAAGTGACTAATCATTTCACTTTAACATACCTTTTAAAGTGAAATTTCCAAATAGGAATCGGTAAAACAAGAGCAACAAAACAAGTGATTAATCAACATACTGTTCGAGAGTTTGTCCGAACCTTCAACCAAGCATTCTATTTTGTCATTCTTGATTCTTCAACGTGCACGCTGAATCGGTAAAACTCTAATGGAGATTTTATTATTATAAACATTGATACTGGGATAAAGGGAAGGTAGTTATACCCATTATTCTGCAATATAATTCCAGCAACAAACTATAGGAGACAGCTAACAGAAGCTAATCACCCAATACTGATAACATTATATTTTAGAACTTTGGCTATATTCCGCAAGTTGCTGCCGCAAAACCCTTCTCATAACCTTGTTGGATGCCGTCCTTGGAAGAGATGCCACTGGTACTACTTGAGAGACCTACACAATCAAGCATTTATTTATTTAGAATACTAAACTATATTGTGATAATGAACTTCATGAATACTATAAAGAAATTAATCAGTACCCTGAATAATGGATTTAGTGTTTTTTGGAGAGCTGAATTAAAAGACATCTTCAGTTTCTGTAAATCTTGTGCTGTCACGTTTAAGTTCTTTAACACAGCAGCTATAGCCAACTGCTCCGGCCCACCACCAGAAGGCGGTATCCCTATTGCAGCTGTTTCCACAATATTACTGTCTACTCCATTGCATATGCGTTCAATCTCAACCGAACTCACCTATCCAAATAGCATGAAATGTCAGAACATGCACATGCACTTGAATAGACAACAAAGTGAAGGAAAAAATATTGAGGCAAAATATTTGACCTTAATTCCTCCAAGGTTCATTGTATCATCTGCACGACCATGCGCATGATAGTATCCTCTAGCAGTACGCTCAAATACATCTCCATGCCTCCGTAAAACCTGACTAGAGAAACGCAAATGTAAATATTCAAAATTCCCACATATTATAAAGGAGAATGGTATGCCTACCTTTCCATTCCAAAGAGCCATTCCCTTGAAATAGACACCATAATGATCAGCATTCAGCAATGCATTTGATGCCCCAAGCATAAGGGAGCCAAGAGCTAACTCACCTATTCCTGGAGCATTCTCTGGCTGTAATAATAGAAAAGAAAATCGAACTTTAGTTTACGAATTTAATCAATGGATGACAATGGATGAAAACATTTGAATTTTCAGAAGTTTGGTAGACAATGGATGAAAACATTTAGCACATACAATAGGATGCCCATCTTCACCAAGAATAAACAAATTGCAGCCCATAGCTGGTGTGCTAAAAGCAGCTAATGACTGAGCCTGCAGCAATGATCCAGTGACGAATGCACCCCCAATCTCTGTACCACCACAATATTCAATGATAGGCTGGTAACGACCTCTTCCCATCAGCCACAAGTATTCATCTACGTTAGATGCTTCTCCGGTGGATGCAAAGCAACTACATTGAAAACAATAGTTCCATTCAGTTACTGCATAATCATAAATGACATTCACCTTCATGCGGTACTATGTTAATGTAGTAGGGTAGTAGATTAAACTGTGCTCACCGGATAGCAGACCAATCATAGCCGGATGTGGAATTTGCGTTTCTCCAGCTCCGTACAAGACTTGGAATCACACCGAGCATTGTTACTTTAGCATCCTAAACAGATCACAATATCACTCAGTATGAATAACACTATAATATGTTGAAAAGTATGCCTTAACTACGGTCTGCTTCTCGGTGCCATAATTGTGGCAATTTTGGACTGCCTTCATTGCAGCCTCCAGCACCTTCATTGTACTGAGTGTGAGGCAAGATAAGATATGGGGAGTCTAAAATTTATAGCAGGATGGTTTTATTATACCTGTACAAACTTGGCAAAACCAGACCCAAGCGGGGATCCATTATACAAAGCCATTGAAGCTCCATTTAGCAATGATGCATATACTAGCCATGGCCCCATCATCCATCCAAGATTAGTGGGCCAGGAAACTACATCACCTTTACGAACATCCAAGTGGCACCATGCATCTGCAGCAGCTTTTAGTGGTGTAATATTGGTCCACGGAATTGCCTTTGGATCACCTATACCACAAGTTCAAACGGCAATGAAATTCAACCCAGATTAATAAAGTGAATGAAGTCTTAGCATTGTATTAATATTATTTTTACCTCGAATTTTCTGTATCAATACAAATGATTTGGTCTAAATACTTGTGTAAGATTTCAGGACAAAATACAAAATTTAACTTGCCTGTTGTTCCTGAAGAAAAGAGAATGTTTGTAAATGTTTCTACTGGTTGTTCCGCAGCTATGAATTCCTTGCCTCTGAACGTTACATGATAACAAATGAGAACGGAATTGGAAAATATCATAATTCGAACTATTCATGCTAAATTGCTTCCGGATCAGATATAAATATCATTACACGTGAAAATGTTGAAAGGATCATAGGCATATCACCTGCCAATGATTTCTTATTTCATAAATTGCATATCAATAAATATATCAGAATTGAAGTGCATACTTGATATTATTGACTCTCTCCAAAAAATCACACCAAGAAAAGTCCCCGTTGCGCAGTTCCATGCTAAATCCAGAGCCTCTAGCTGGGATAACTATTGCGGTAGGAGATTGTGCTTCCACAATTCTACTGCATTTGGGAAGCAAATCAAGTAACAGTGTGAGATAACAATTTACTGATAAATAAAAGAGACAACTCAACTAGAGGGTTACTTTACTAAACAGTTAAAAGGGATTTTCACCTGTAAAGTGGGAGGGCTTTATCGCCACGAAGTATGAGATCCTGATAAATAAAAAGAAGGGAAGGAGAGCAAAGAATAAACAGGAAAAAGTAAATAACTACAAAAATGTTATTGTTCATATAATTGGACATGCAAATACAAAGTTTTAATGTTTTATATACTAGGAATCTAACAAGGAAGAAGAATCTCCGGTGGAATGATGATAAATGAAAAACTCTTGGCATGTAATTATGAACAGAGAGAACAAATCTTTTTTAAATTCATCAAGAACAACCAAAATAATTGTGAGATTCAACAAAAACTCTTGGAACAAAGGGCTTGTAAGAGTCATAACCAACACAAGTTGCCAAAAAATAATAACCAGCTGTAAGAGAAACCACCACTAGCATGACTCGTCGGATGAGAAAGAATCAATTAGTAGGAAAGGAGTAGCATGACAATCAACACTAATAGACATATTTAGACTCTATTCAATTTTTCATATTATTCAATCTTTATTCTCTCTTCTATTCCTTTTCAACCTAAAATCCCAATAGTTTCAACCTAAAATCCCAATAGTTTCAACACTAATAAACATATTTGGTTGAGAAGTCTACAAAGAGGAAAAAGAAAAAGTCATAAAAAGATATTAAGGATTAAACCTGAGTAAATATGACTTTTGCATTTGATATTTTAAGCCTGGTTGATATTTCACGTGCTGCAAAACTATCAGCTATCGATACAACAACATAACCTGCAAGAACGATAGCCAGATAGATGACCACAGATTTACAATTCATTGGCATGTCAATCGCAATTGCAGATCCTTTCTCCAGACCCAGTGATTCAAGAGCATAGGCAACTAACCTACAAAGTAACATAAGCAACATAGTTTCATTTTTCTTTTTCAAATTTTGAAACTAGAAAAGCTAGTTGTATAGACTAATCACACTATGCAACATTTCAAATCAAAAACTACACCTTAAAATCTACCACAAGTCGAAAAACTGTGGTCTAAATCTGCCACCTATATTTTCTGGCACAATTTGGTTAAGCTAACAACTTCAAAATAACTGCTATCTATATCGGATAGTGGAATTTTGCAGACGACCACAACAAAAATGCTATAACAGATAAAGGGATTTTCACTTTTCTGAAAATTTAATACAGTTATATGATTTATATTATAAACATAAAATCCTAACTAGTTGTGCCTGACCAGTGAGAAGGGTAAAAATGACAACAGGAGTGAGACGAAGTGAGAGAGAAGAAGCCCAACTGCTGCTCTGGTATATTTCTAATTGCAAGACTCCAAAGATACCCACAACAAAAACCCTAATGCTTAAATTTTAAGATTCGTTTTTTGATATTTTTTATCCTATTCTGATGTGCAATACTAACTTGCCATGACAACCATTATTCTGGCCACTATAGCAGTTCCTAAAGCTGTTACAATAAACTGTTTTGCTAAAGCGATTCCTATACCAGCTAGATATCGGCCCCTACACCACTTCGGCATGCTATTGACAATACCGCATCAAATAAACGTTTGTGTGTGTCATAGCAACGCCAACTAAAAAACATTAAAAATCTAATAATAAAGGGATAGGTAATTGCAGCATACCAAACCTCTTGACGCAATTCGTCAAGCGTCATCCTTTGAAGAGGAAGATCATCTTGCAATTCATCGCGCCATATTATTACTGTGTCATTCAAACTTCTGTTGCCTTTCAAATTCAAGCAATTGAGTGCAGGATTAACCGATGCTCCAGGAAGCCATTGACCACTAGGATAAGAAGATGAACCGTCCTCACTGAGATTCTCACTCAAGATGCATTGGGGTGGTTTAGAAAACGATATGTTCATTTCATCGAGCACAGTTTTCCAATAAACCTGAAACAATACAATATAACAATGACAAAAAATGCAAACCAAAATAAATAATATTAAGATTATTACTATTATCTTGAATGGACCTGAGGGTTTGAGAGTGAAAATTTGTGGAAATCAGCAAAGCTTGTAATTGGATCCTTATACGCTGATCCCAGAAACTCTTTACCCCTCCTCTCAAGTAACCGACCAACATTCGTCAAACTAACACTTTTCGGGTCGGGTAACCAAGCGGGCGGGTCAGTACCATAATCCTTGAAGCAGCCATAGTAGAGCATTTGATGAAAGGAGAAAGGTAGTTGTGGGTTGAGGATGTTGGTGGTGATGTTCTTCCACGTGGCAGGCGCGTCAGCTCCATGAATTGTGATTAATTCTGTGAGATGGTGGTGGAGAGTTGCAGCGTCGTGTGTTGAAATTCCAAGGGACTCAATATCTGAAACGGAGATAGAAGAGAGAGATTTGTAATCCATGTTCATAATTCTCTACTCCTTCCTTTGAGTCTGAAATTCAAAACTAATTAACCCATTAAATTTATTGGAAAACAATGAGCGTGAACATTCTATTCAAGATTTTACTATAAATAAATATAGATATCATGTATTCTCCCTGTCTGTCTTATTTAAAATATTAAGTAGTATTTATTAAAATTTTAATATTTAGAAAAAAAATCATTTTATTTATAATAAAAAAGAGATGAAATGTTCATTAGATATAATAATTATTTATTAAAATTTTAAAAATAAATTTTATTTATGATAAATAATTGAAGAGTAGTAAATGGAACAAACAAATAACAATCATTGTTGGACAAATACTAACAGAAGGATAACGAAGGAACCCATGACCCATGACAACAGACTAGCATAATGTTGTCATGTTTCGATCTACAACCACTTTGTGCGCAACCCAATAATAGTAGTAATAAATAAAACATTTTGGTTGTTTTTACCTTCTTTTGTCACTAGATTTGTTATTTCTGTTGTACTAGCATTTGTTTCTAGATAAAAAAATAATGTTGAAGAATAGATGTTTGAGTTTCAATGCTATAAAAGACCTTTTTTTTTACAGGTATGGTATTATAAAGCTCAAAAGCATGCTTGGAATAAAACAGGGTTCGAATGATCATGTTATATTTATGAATATTTCATATTTTTTGCATTGGATCCTCTCCCTAAAGCATTTATCAACAGCAACAAAAAATGTGATTGAAGGGAGATAAGATGAGAAAAGATTGAGGTGATTAGGAGAGAGAAAATAATATAAAAAATAGATATATAGATAAAATCATACTAGATTTGTAGATGATGTAAATAAATTCTACAAGACTATTAGTTGGAATTTCTACACTTAAGAGAATCTGAAATAAGTCAATGAAGTTAAATGAGATATTTTGAAAACGAATATATTGATTTCGAGGAAAAACTTGTGAAAGTATAGTCGAAAAAGACATTTTATATAGAGGAAGATTTTAGTCTGAAATTTAGAAATATTCTTGGGTTCAGATTTAAGTTCGACGAAGATGTTCGTTTAGAGTTGTGTTCGACGAGCGTAATTCAAAATAAGGCTAATAACTGTTTTTTAGCCTTATCTGTTTCTTGAGAAGACACATGGAAAGCTATAAGTAGCGAAGTCCGTGCAATCGATAATGTGTCATCTTCTAGAGAAGTGATCGTTTATTACCGTTATTTTCGATTTATTATAAATAGGAATCTTAGTGATTAGGATTCGTGTGTTCTATTTTGTACAAAAAACTAAATATTACTCAAAGTATCTATGTTGTTGAGAAACGAGTCCCTGAGTACAATGTACGTGTGATCACCATTTTTACACTTTTTATATCAAATCATTTACGATTTTGTTATTTACATTCGTTGTAAATTTACTTTGAAGTTATTTACATTGCTATTTACATTTCTGCGTTTCTTTACAAACTTTAACATTACTTTCAACGAAAGAAACATTGTCAAAATGTTCATAAGTGATAAAACTTGAAGACAACAAAAGCGCATGTCTTATGATCAATCTAGTCGATCCCGCGAGTAACCAAAAATATAGAATTTGAAAGACTTGCGCTTGCTTACCAATTTCGACAGTAAACAAATTGGTACGCCCAGTGGAACCAGCGCTTTTGCTTAATTTCTGAAAATATTTAAAAGTTCTTCATTTGTAGTTTCTTTAACTTCGTTGCATTAGATTAAGAAATGGTAAAATAGCCACTAATAACAAAGCAATACTAAGAAGGAGATACGTAAGAAGGATGGTGAATCCGCCAAATAACAATAGAGAACAACCCCTCTTTCGATAGGGGAGACTACGACCACAACATTTGTGTCTGAAGCAATTTCATCCACCACGAGTATGATGACCATACCTTCAAGCACTCACAGTGGACCAATTTTATCTCCTGTGAGGACGCAGGGTCAACCGGTGACCCCTCCTCCGGTGGGAGCTGGTATATTCAGACCTTATATGCCTGGATTTATAATGCCTTTGAATGGTTGCGAACAACCATACGTCATGCCAACTTCGATGATGGAAAATTTGCACAATGCAACGTCAACATTCTCTGACCCATTAGTGAACATGTTTCCGCCTTTGAAGGGTCTGGATCGGCTGTTAACAATATGGGTCGAATCAACCAATTTTACTATAAACTCTACAACAGTCTTAAGGCAGCAAATGGACGACAGTAACCATAACATGGTCCATATGCTTACGCAACAGATGGGCACAATATTAAACCCTTTGATTCAAAATACCACCCAAACGAACCAACAGATGGCAACGCAGGATGATGCAGATTGCAAATTTCTTTGGTGTTCCGCAAGCACCTCGACGACTTTGAAGGGAATGGGTGTTGGCTGGAAATTTTGATTCATGTTTCCATTTGAGAAACTAAGGAAAATTAGAAGTTTCTTAAATATGGTTGACTTCGATAGAAGTTAATGTGAAGTTCTGTCAAAATGATTCTCATAAGGAGACATGCTTGGACAAAAACTTAGAAACATTTTCTAAGTGTAGAAGGTCACTTTGACAAGGGATGATTTGGAGCCTTCCTTCGGCAGAGATTTGAATTTCAAAATACGTATAGATAACTGTCTTTTGTCCTTATCTGTTTCTCATGAGAGACGTGTGGAGAACTATGGCGAAACGAAGGCATGCAGGACGAAACGTGTCAACTTTTGGAAAAATGCTCGTTGGAGACAGTTATTTCGACGTATTATAAATAGGCGTCTTAGTATTAGGATTTTCGTGTGTTCAATTGTTGTACTATACTCAAAATTTACTCAAAGTATCCAAATTTACATAAGAAAAGAGGTTGAGAGATGTACGTTGCTATTGTGTTTGAAAATATTCTTTTTACTTTTTCTGGAAAAAGTTTTACTTTTAAGTTCTTCATTTTTATCTCTCCATACTTTGTTGCATGAGACTTAGGAGTGGTAGAATATCCACAAATAAAAAAGAGAGACCAAGGAGAAGATACGTAAGGAGAATGGTGAATCCAAATCCTCTAAATAACCAAAATAATGAAGAATCACCCCCTTCTTCTTTGATAGGGGGCATACAGTTCCAGCGTCAGTATCTGAAGTCGTACATTCTACGACAAGTTCGACGCCTGCGCACTCGATTGCCCAGAGTGGTCCCATTTTATCCTATGTGGAAACACAGGGTCCACCTGTGATCTCCCCTCTAGTGGAAATTAATTCATTTAGGCCTTATGTGCCTGGGTTCTCAATGCCTCCAATAGAATGCGAACAACCTTATGGTATACCAACATCAGTGATGACAAGTTTACATAATGCGTCATCAATGTTCTCAGAACCATTGGTGAATGTAACTTCACCATTGCAAGGATCTAGTTCAGGCATCAATACTATGGGTCGAATTAGCCAGCCCTTGAGGACAAGATTTCTTACTTAGATGCCCAATATCACTAACAATTCTGTAGCAGTGATAAGGCAACAGATGGACAAAAGTAGTCATGAGATGGTCCAAATGCTTGCCCAACAAATGGGAGTTATATTCAACCCTTTAATCCAGAATACTACCCAAACTAACCAACAATTGACAGCGCAGATGACGTGCATTGCTGATTTATTTGGTGTTTCACAACCCCCTCGACAACCTTAGAGGGAATGGATGGTACAAAATACTGGGGTGGTCTTAGAAGAAGACTCTACAATTAATCAAGTTCAACCAAATATACCCCAAGTGAACTTTTTAAACCAGGGGCAGTAGTCGAACCTCCTAGAATTGAACAGCCAATCTAGAGGGAACCAAGGGTAGCAATGGTAAATAGAAACCAGAACGCGAATGAAGTAATCAATCAAGTTTGATGCAAAGATGTAGTGCTGGATAATAACCTAGCAGATATGATCGAAAGGATTATGGTCAGAAATGGGGTAAATATTGGCCTTCATAGGCCAAATTATACGTCACTATCATTTGAGTATATCTTGCAGTATGATTTACCCCCTAGATGGAAAGTACCCAAATTCACTAAATTTTCTAGGGATACTAGTAAGTCCACAGTCGAACATGTGGCAAGATATTTGATAGAGGCTGGCAAAATTGCAAATAATGAAAACCTAAGAGTGAAATATTTCCCAAGTTCATTCACCAAAAATGCTTTTACTTGGTTTACAATACTGCCAGCGAACTCGGTCTATAATTGGACTCAATTGGAGAGATTTTTCCATGAACAATTCTATATAGGACAATCGAAGATACGCCTGAAAGAATTGGATAGCATTAAGAGTATGTTTTTTGAGCCAATAGACGATTACCTCAATAGGTCTCAACTACTTAAGGCAAGGTGCTTTACTTAAGTGCCTGGACATTAGTTGGTCGAAATGGCCATTGATGGCCTCGACTACTCAATTAGGAAGAAGCTAGATACCCAGTACCTGAGAGATATGACCCAGTTGACTTATAGAGTTCGGCAAGTTGAACGATTTAAGGCTGAAAAAGCTAGGGCAAAGAAGAATAAAAATGAAGAGGTGCCCTATGTCGAATATGACGAAGATGAACAGGAAACTAGTGTCGATCCCTTTTTCGAAGAAAGTAAAATTGACCTTGCTGAATTAAAACAAGGCTCACCTTATGCCTGTAAAGTTTTAAGACCATTGAATGGAAAGAATCCAGTCGATTCAGAGAAGAACGATAGGTTCCCTAAAAAGACTTATACCTTCGACTTCACTAAGTATGACAAAATCTTTGATTTATTAGTCAAAGATGACCAGATGATAGTGCCTCCTGGCACTAAAATGTATCCTTTAAAATAGAGAAAAAAAAAGGTTTTTTTAAGTATCATAATTTTTAAGGTTCTGCAGATTTGAGCAAATTTTGGTAAAATTGGATGTTGCACAAGATGTTCCAACAAGAACATTTCTGCTGAAAATAAAGACACGTTGGACAAGATGTCCCAACATAATATTAGAACATCGTGTCTGTTACTGATGTATATGATTTTGTT